CCGGCATCTTCACATGTTGCTTGTCATAGCGGCGGCTGGCAGTGACTCCCACCTTCCTGTTTTCTCTATTCTCCTCTCTGTTAGTCCCGCCTATACTTCCTGCCTGGCCAATCAGTGTTTTATTTATTGACCAATCGGAGCAATTTGACATACAGACCATCCCACAGCAAATAAAGGCTCACCATTTGTTCCTTGCATGCAACCAACAGCAGTGTCCAGAACCTTAATGATTTGTGGAATCTCAAGGGCCTCCAAACTAATAACTCCTAGGGAGGTTTCCCACCCTTGGCTGTGGGATTTTCATTCAACAGCCTTACAGTTTCTAGGAATGCCTTTTCCCACTCATGCACTCATACAGAATCTTTCAAACTCTTTTATTTCCTTTAATAAATCTGCAAGACACACAAAAGTTAGCATTATGTAATGAAACATTTTAACGCAAAGAACAGAATTTCTGATGACAGCCACCACCCATCCCAAGTAAATGCCTTTGGACTTGGGTGGCTAATGAGATTCTAATAAAAAAATGTTTGCAAGGTGTGATATTGTATGAAAAGATCTCTTATCAATCATTTCATAAGAAAAGCTATAATGTGAGGCTAGAGAGACAGCTTAGTGGTTAAAAACACTTGCTGCTCATATAGAGGACCCAAGTTTAGTTTTTAGCATCCACGTGATTATTGACATCTGTCTGTAACCCCAGTTCCAGGGGACCCCGCACCTTCTTTTGGCTTTCATGAGCACCAGATATGCACATGATGAATGTACATACATGCCTGCAAACACTCATACACATAAAATAATAATCTATTAAGAAAAGAAAAGCAATATTTGTAGATGAAGACATAACTCAGTCAGCAGAGGACAGGCATGAAGACCCGAGTTCAATTCCCCTAAACCCATGTTACGAAAACAAAGCTGGATGTGGAAGCTTGTGCCTTTAATACCAGAGCTGAGGCGGTAGATATCCGAGGGTTCCTAAGTCATTCTGTTTTTCCAGCCCAGCCCATTTGATAAGCTGCAGATCCCAGTGAGAGACCCTGTCTCAAAAGAAAAGGCAGATGGCTCCTGAAGGTGACTGTCCTCTGCCTGCATGCACACACATGACATGTACCCATATAACTGAACACACTCATGCAAGCAACCCTCTTCTCACACACACAAAAGAGGAGTAATATTGGGTTTCAACTGCACTGATGGGACTAACTACCCTAGCCAGTCCTCCATAACCCACAGACATTGTGTGTGTGTGTGTGTGTGTGTGTGTGTGTGTGTGTGTGTGTGTGTGTGTGTGATTTGGTCTTCTCATGCTGGGCTACAGCTGCTGCCACAGAGCCACTGTGCCTCTTCTAGTCAATTGTGCCATCAGAGTTTGCTGGTAATACTTGGTCCTGTCTCAGGCCCAGCGACTGTACTGTTGCTAACTGTGCCTGCCCCTGAAGCTAGATAGACATGACACACTCTTGGCCAGCACTGTGGTCCTGGCTATTGTATCAGCCAAACACAACCATATTGACAAGCAGTCCCCATCTACAGTATACCTTCTGGCAAGATAAAGATGTGCACTGAATATTTTAGGAGAATGACTACCTAGCCCTAGAGTAAAGTTTGATTTCATTTGTGTTCTTAATCATTTGTGTTTTCTATGGTACTGTTTGGGCTTAAAGCCTCTGGAACTTTGATAGTGCAATACTTAGCTTTTGGCCCCCCATCCTTCATGCCACATAGTAAGTCCAGATGGACACAAATTGTGTCAGCTTTTCTTTCCAGGAATTTAGACAGATTTTTTTCTGCTTTGTTTTCTTCTCATCTCCTCCCTGTTGTGTTGTGGGAAGTTCCACTAATGGCTTTTGGGGGACAAGAGCAGAGGGAGAGGAGTGGTATTCTCATCTTCTCGTGGGTGGTCAGACGGAAGGGTTGGTTCCCCTCACCCTGGTTAGAATGGAGGACAGTGACAGCTGTTTACTTCATTCTGTATCCATGAGTGTATTATCCCATTGTATACCTTAGTAAATTCTTCATATCCTTTAACAGACTCTTGTGGGGTCACACAATACCTCCCAGCTCATGAACATTGTATCCCATCATGGTATTCAAAAAAGCCACTAAAGCCCTGTATCAGACCAGAGGTCCATTAATTAATGGGCCTGAATTAATTTCTTTCTTAGTTTTCCTGTGTACACAGTCCTGTCAGAGCCAGTGAGCTGGCCATCAACTATTGCTTCTTCTTTGCTCAACTCCCTCAGGGACACATGTCCTTCCTCTGCTGTCTGCTGGCTCCTGATATTAACAGGGCTCTCTGTCAGTGATAACCAAGTGTCTCTAATAGCACATATGAACCAGTTTATATGACTGTAAGACAACACCTCCATTATATCCTTCATTGTTTCCATTTCTCTGCCAAATCAGACTCTGGTATAGCAGATAGTGCCTGCATATCTGTTTTCCTATTGTACCTTTTGTATGTCTTATGCTCACCGAATAGGCCATACAGTAGCTGCCATAGCATGTTTGTATTACAGTCCCTTCCTGATTTCCTTAATGCTAGCAGAGACTTTCTGGGCTCTTCTCCAGCCTTTCCAGTGCTGCTCCTGGTCTTTATGTTCAGAATTTACTGTATTTATAATGACTTCTCCAGATTGCTGAACCATGACTGACATGTTTTATTGAATCTTCCAATTCTCCTTGATGATGAAGTTTCAAGCAGGTTTGCCCGAGCTATAAATGAAATCTATGCAACACACTCTTTCCTAAATATGTCAATATTGATATACAGTGACTTGAAAACAATAGCAGTTGCCTATCATGAGAAATGCATTAGGCTTAATACACAGTTACAACATTAATTTATCAATTAAATAAGACAGGGCAAACAAACAACAAACCCTGATGCTGTCCTCGTCTAGGAAACATCTTTCTTAGACTCTTGGATAGGAAACCCTGCTTTCCCAGACAGACTATGACCAGACAACCCGAGTTATGGCTGATTACTTCATGGACCTACTTTTAAATATTGGCGTTAATATTTACTCAAAAAAATTGAGTTTCAAGCAGGACTCAGTGGGACACATATATAACCCAGCACTTAAATCAAGAGGGTCAGGAGTTCTAAGTCATCTTCAGCTCCTTAGTAAATTCAAGGCCAGCCTGGCTACAGGAACAAGATCTTGTCTCAAACAAATAACAAAGCACTTTAGTTTCCCTGATGAATCTGATTAATATTTATTGAATATCAGTTTGATGACAGCAGTTACAAGCACTGCAATTCCACATGATTAAGACATCACCTGTTCTGTCTTCAGGCACTGAAAACCTAGTAGTTGGATGAAAAGAGAAATTGTATGAGGTAAAACAAATAGACACAACCAGTGCTGTAAAAGTCAGTCTTGATTGACTTCTTGATGAGACTGGGAGATGCCTGGGAGATGAGTAAATCACTTCTCAGTATGTCTATGAGGGCATCTTGAGAGAGGATTAACTAACAGGAGACTGGCCTTGAATGTGAGCAGCACCAGCCAAGAGGCCAGAGGCTAAAATACAAAATGGAAGAAGAGAAGCCAGTTAGCGCATACAATATCCCTTCTTCCTCAGTGAGTCCATCTACAGCTGCTGTCATTACCCGGGGACTTCAGACTCCAGCTTCATCTGCTGTTGGCTGATGGCTGCAGTGTCGTATCAGTGACTTTCCAGAGAGCTTCTGGGCCTTCAGCCTCACTCGGGGCTGCATCATCAGCCCCCCTGTCTCAGAGATTTCAGTTTCTTGCCCTGAGCAGCTACTGGCTTCCCTTGATCTCCACTCTGCAAATGACCATCACAAGATTGTCTAGCTGCAGATTATGTGCATTTAATAAATCCCTGATTACAAATACATATATGAATTCTATAGGTTCTGTTACTATAGAGAATCTTAATACAGATCAGATGTTAAACAGCCTTTCAAGTCATTAAAGTTATTTTCAATAAGATATAAAACTCCTAAAATAAGATTTATGAGGATACAACTGAAGACTTTTAATCAGAAGAAGAGCATAATAAAACTGAGTTTAAAAAAAAAACCTGCCTTGGCTAGTAGGTAAATATGGGATTATATGTGAAAATGACAAGATATAGAGAGCACAAATAGGAATATACTGTATTAATCTAGGTGAGAGATAATACAGGTCTTAGAAACAGCCATAGCATGTATGATGGGGACTGAGAAAAGTGAATTGATTCAAAAAACAACTAGGAGTTGTATTAAAATGCAGGATTTGACTGCATATAGGTAAAGACTGGAGGAGTATTGAGGCTGCCTCCAGAGAGTAGAGTCTTGGGAAAGAGTGTACAGTAGATTGGTGACAAGCTGGTAGTGAGAAGTGGGATCAGGATCCAGGATCGATCGGGACATTTGTACTTAACTGGCAGGTTCTGTTTAGGACACATCGGGTGTCTGTTGGTGGGACCAATGCAAATACATTTCATTAACTGATGAAATGTAGGCTTGAAGTTCAAGAGAAAGATCTGGTCTGAAAATGAAAAGTGAAACATTCTCACAGGGCATTCATAGGCATCCTCACAGGGCACTCACTCACAGGGACTCTCACAGGGCACTCACTCACAGGCATCCTCACAGGGCACTCACTCACAGGGACTCTCACAG